TGCAACATGACAACACTGTTCATCTTCAACAGAAAAAATTGCTACCACTACTTCTTCATCTGAAGCGCTAGTTGCTGTATTCTAATCAGTCTTCTTCTGATTTTTCTCCTCCTTCAATTTATTTTTCCAAACCATGCAATATTTTTTTATATAACTCTCCTTGCCACAATAAAAATGTTTGACTTTTTCTCTTGACTTTGACTGACTTCTGAAATTACCACGTCCCTTAGGAACTCTGTTTTTACTCATTCCTCTGTTCTCTGTAATAAGAGCATGTGCATCATTCGTATCCAAGTATTTCCTTCGTATTTTTTCATTAAACAAACTGTCTTTAACTACAGTAAGTTCAAGCACACTATTCGGAGCAGAGTTACTAAGTGATACCACCAAAGTCTCCCAACTATCAGGCTATAAACTAGTAAGTAATAGTTCTTGCATCTCATCATTTATCACTATTTTCATTGTGGTCAACTGATTTATGAAGTCTTGAAATTCACTCAAATGCTCAGCAACTGATTTTCCCTCCTTTAGCTTCAGATTCACAAGTTTTCTAATAGCAAAAACTTTATTTTGAGCAGTTTTCCTCTTATAGAGACTCTCCAATTTTTCCCAAAGCTTATGAGCATCTGTCTTCCAGTCACTATCGCTCATATTGTTTAGCTTAGCACCATTACCTTCAATAGGTTTATGTAAATCCTTACAATAAAGGATATCCTTCATCATAGGCTTCCAAATAGAATAATTTGAAACTGATAATTTAATCATAGTGCCCGAAGTATTCTCCATTTATTCCCGCAATAAACTACATCCACACAACCTGAGCTCTGATACCACTTTGTTGGGCAATTTCACTTATTGCAAAATAATTCACCAATCCAAACAACTAACTGAGTGATTAAATATGTAATTAATAATTAAAGAAAAAATAAACAAACACAACACCAAATTTTTACGTGGAAAAAAACCCTTCAGTGTAGAGGGAAAAAAATTATAGGGCAACTCCAACCAGAATCCACTATAATAAAATTATAGATTACAATATTCTATTAATACCCCAAAACTTGAATTTTCAACAAATTGGAAATACCACAATAATTAATTTCTAAGGACAACAAATAATCTCACCACAAATCACAAATTTAATCAAATTTGTGAGAACCCACTTTGAATACTATACCTCTAGAGTACCCAAAATACACCTTAGATAAATCTCCAATTTTTACTATGTAGAGAAGAAAAAACCTGTGTGAATCCACACACAAAATATTGAAAGAAAACTCTCCTTCCAATTATTTTCCTTCTTCCAGTAGCTTGGATTTCTTTTTATTTCCAGCCAAAGTCTCTCAATTTTATAATGTAGCAGCCACAGATTTGTTTGAAGATCCAGTCCCCACAGCCACGATTATGGGCTTTTTTCTTCCTTGTGGGCTGGACAAGCCCATATAAAA